CCTTTCTTCCAAGGCACATCCGAGTGGACTCAAATCTCCAACCTTCAGTTAGCAGCTGAGTGCATTAACTGTTTGCGCCACCAAGGAATTCCACTGTATTTTATACAGGAACATAAAATAAGACTTGAATAAATAAAGAAATATGCTTTATTTACGGATAGAAAAACAGAATATTGTACAGGTATTCAAATCAAAATCTGTATCTAAAAGAATATAGGAACATTATTCTGAAGTTCATATACTCCAGGGTTTCTCCTCCTTGAGATTATGGACATTTGGGGCCAGGTTATTCTCTGTGAGCGGGCTGTCCTGTGCATTGCAGGATGTTTAGCAGCATCCCTGGCTTCTACCCATGAGATACCAGAAGCACACCCCCCACCCCAGCTGTGACAACGAAAATGTCTCCAAACATTGCCCAGTGTCCCCTAGGGGCAGAATAACCTCCAGCTGAGAACCGCTTGTCTATAAGAATAATTAAGTCAGAATAGGGAAGAAACATCTGGAAAAAAGAGTAATTGGGAAAGGCAATAACACTCTTTAGATATTTTAAAAAATACGTAAATAACAACATAAAGCTATGTTGCTATTGTTGGGTGCCACTGAGTTGATTCCAACTCATAGCAACCCCATGTGACAGAGCAGAACTGCCTCATAGGGTTTTCTAGGCTGTAATCTTTACAGGAGCAGATTACCAGGTCTTTCTCCTGTGGAGCCGCTGGGTGGGTTCAAACCGCCAGCCTTTCGGTTAACAGCCAAGTGTTTAACCATTGAGCAACCAGGGCTGCCTTATAAAGCTATAATGAATGTAAATAAGTGCAAGTATAGGCAACTGAATTCATATATCAGAAGGAATAACCTAGAAATAGACTCCAATTTTTAATATACTATTTTTAAAGGAATCTCCCAGTCAGAGGGGAAGGAAAAAATCATCATCAATACTGTCATTTACCAGAAAGGTCCAGGATAATTGTTTGGTAATTGGAGAGAGGAATCTATAAAGTCTTCACGGAATGGATTTCAAAAACTAATTCTAAAAATGCATTTAAATATAATTTGCTAAATTAAAAATTAAAGCATATTAGAGAACATCGAGCTTCTATTAAAGGTGATAAAAAAATTTTAAAACAGATCATGCTGATGGTTTAACCACATGAAAACGTAATTAATGTCACAATTGTACATGTGAAGAATGTTGAAACGGCAAATGTGTCATTACATATATATTTATCACAATTTTTTAGAAAAAGTATTTATCCCCAGGGAGATCTGTCCCACTGATTTCATTGCATAGTACCTGGGGTCTTAAATGCTTACAAGCGGCCATCCAAGGTATAACAATTCTTATCTATTCGTCTGGAGCAACAGGGGAAGAAGGAAGAAGGAGAGTCAGGAATAAGAGGAGGAAATGGAATGTGTGGCTACTTGCCTCCATGAACAACTGCCTCCTTTGCCATGAGATCTGAACAGGATGGTGCCCGACTACCATTACTGAACATTTTGATCAAAGATTCTATAGAAGAATTCTGATCAAAAGGGGGAAAATGCAGAACAGAATTTAACTCATGGATTCTAGACTTCCTGGAGTCATAGAGGCTGAATGAACTCCCAAAACTATTGCCCTGAAATAATCTTTACACCTTAAACCTTAAACCAAAAATATTCCCTGAAGTCCTCTTTAAACCAAGCAATATTTAACTTAATATTTAAATATTTAACTTAGTAAAGAATGTCTACCTCTAGCACTGTGCTCTTTTAAGGAACTATCTATATGAGATCAAACTGACAACAGCAAC